AAATGAGGCATTGTTTTATATTGTGATATCATTAATAGTAAATTGATGTTAGCATTATTAGTATGAAATATATTCAATCCATCTCAAAATACTTGTCGCATTTTTATTTGACTATTTTAGTCATGTTTATCACACATACTTCTGCATATTAATTATTGTACTTGAACATTGCAATTTGCAATCAGTAGATATTTTCTTATCAATAATAATTTTTAATTAACAAAGGGGTCCATCATGTCATCTATTTCCAAAACAAAAGAATATGTATTTTTATTAACCAATAGAATGAAAAACTTCAAGATTTAAAAATATATTCTAAACAAAAAATGGTGGCATATCACTATCTAACAATAAGATGGCCTGGTATGGTGTTTGAGGATAATATCAAAATTTATAGTATAATAATAATAATAATATAATAATAATAATAATTAAATGCATAGCTAAATATTTAATATTCTTTTTAGGAAAAAGAATAAATATACTTTCAAATTATCGTAAATGATATGAGATATATTTTAGGGACATTGATATCCCTGCTGTCCAAAACTAAAATATATATACCCTTTATATTAACAGACATACACGTGTCATAATTTTATCCACCGACCTGGCTCGGATAGATGAATAACATTGTGTCACGTGTCCTTATTTAGTTTTCTATTAGACTGAAGAGTATATACGTTCTAGTTTTTGGACGACGGGGGCATCAATGTTCGTAAAGTATGAAAAAGGGTATCTGCATATAATTTACGATTGTTCGAAAGTATAATTATCCTTTTTCCCAATTTTTAATATATAAAAATGAACAAATCTAGGAGAAGGCTGGGATTTAACCTCCATTAAAAAGCTTCTCGGTGAAAATTGCTTAAATCCATATAATAATCATGAGATATATTTGATATTCTTATTCAACTTTTAAGATTATTTTGCAGATGGATTGGGATGTGAATGTTATTAGTTATAATTTGTATAAATACAAAAAACTAACAAATCCGTTGTAGTCTAGTTGGTTAGGATACTCGGCTCTCACCCGAGAGACCCGGGTTCAAATCCCGGCAACGGAATTTTTTTATTTTATTTTTGTCGAGTCTTATCGTAAACAACATTTTATATGTATATCGCAAATCGAACATGATGTGTTCAATTAAAGTCATTATACATATTGCCAAAACCCACTTTTCTTGTGGATCATCGGAATTTTTTTATTTTATTTTTGTCGAGTCTTATCGTAAACAACATTTTATATGTATATCGCAAATCGAACATGATGTGTTCAATTAAAGTCATTATACATATTGCCAAAACCCACTTTTCTTGTGGATCATCTCACGAATGCTAGATTATGAGAAAAGCTAGAATTACAAAAGTATACAACAACAATAAAAATAACAAATTTTATAATCTCATGAGTGGAATTTGAAAAAAATAATATGTATGCAGACATTATTTCGACCTTGTAATGATAAGAAGGTTGTTCTCAATAGACTCTTGTCTCGGAGAGAGATAGAAAATGAAACAACAAGAGTCCATTAAGACCATAATTAAGAATTGGGCTAAGAGTTGGCAAAGGACCAATTTGAGGTGGATCAATCATATTAGCTTGCCAGACACTTGGGTTTATTCTTTCTTATATATATATATATATATATATATTCTTTGATAAATTAAAGGACAAACGCTTGCTTATATATTGTTTAACCTTACAGATAAAACATTATTTCGCTACAACAAAAAAATAACTTTTACCGGCATTAAATATTGACATTAACAAAGAGTGCTAAAGTATTTATCGGCATTAGTTAAGTGTTAGTAAAATTAATATCGCTAAAGATTTTAGAGACATATACAAAGAGTAATAATTGTCGCTAAAAATACATATTTAATGGCAATTAAAAAATAATTACCGCTAATGATCATTTTTATTATAGTGTTTCACGGTTGCAATGACTTGTAAGCTTTTAGAGATTAATCTAATGTATTTTATAATATTTTAATCATTCTTTAGACCATAATCTAAAAGGTCCATTAATTTAAAAAAAAATAGGTTGATTTTCAATTGTTGGTCTATACTCACTCCACATCCAACTTACTAGTTAAAAAATCATAAATATCTATGAACTTTATCGCAAAATTATCTCCATTTCGCTTGTAGTTAACAAAATCTGTCGTTATGAGTTTTATTGTTAAACTACGAAATTTATCTATCGTTAAATTTAATTTTTTTTTAGCAATATTAAGATCCACTAAACTTGATCAACATTATTTAGACACTTCACCAAACCTCCCATAGAACAAATGAATAGTCAAAAGTATCATTTGGGGCCTTAAGTAGTTTCTTCATGTGAACAAAGAGGTTTAATTAATTTGCCAAAATTAAATTGTCTAATTAATTAGCATGCAATGTATCTTCAACTAATGTTATTAAGGTTATTGTGCATTAAAAGAACTTTGAAATTTTTAGTTGAAAACCTTCTTTTGCATGCATTTTTTTCTTCCCATTCGAAAATAACTTTAACTTAAACTTTCTTTTTTCTTCATTTCTTTGCGTTTCAAATTTGTTTACATTCTCACAACAACAACAACAAGAATCAGTGTAATTAATTTCATAAACTTCTTATGCATGCATTTTTTCTTCTTCTCATTTGAAAATTCCTTAACTTGAACTTTCATTTTTTCTTCACTTCTTTACGTTTCAAATTTGTTTACTTTCTCACAACCACATTAACAAAAATATATTCAGCGTAATATCATGGGATATGAGAGGATGGTGGGTATGCTTCTACGTTGTAAAAGTAATCGTATTTCGTAGAGAGGTTGCTTTTGATACCTAGTTCAACTAAAATATATTAATTGAAAACACATATGAAAAAGAAATAAAGTAACATAGGTATCATATTATTATTATTTTTAATTATTTTGCATTCTTATTAAAAAGCTAAATTTAGAACTTTGCAAAGTCAAGAATTTTTCTCTTTATTTTAGTATGTCATTAGCAAGAAGGCACCGAAAGATCAAAAAAATACAGCCTTTTTTTCTGTATATTATGTATCACTAAATAGAATATTTGGTGTACAAGCCAACCCCTTTTTTTTTATTTTCTTCATGCCCAAGCATTTCATTCACATTTTTTTATTATTATTTTAATTATTTTTTAAAAAAAACTTTTATCGGTATGCCTTAATGGGAATGCCTTATGGTCCTTCGGATGACTTAGTTGGTTTGGAGCAAATGACTCTAGATCGATTCCCTTCAATGCCTTTTGAGTTTTCTAAGAAAATATAAATTCCATACGATTTTAATTTGTATCAATCACAACTCCCGTTTTGAACTTAAAAACAAATACAATACTACCTTCTTCTTTTTTTTCAAATTTTATAATTTTTATATTCAAACACCTTCTCAGATCTAATATTCGATATCCACATTGAAGCTCAATTAATTAAATTTCTTTATCACATTTTTTTTTCATTTGAAAGTTCAACCCCGGACAATTCTAGGCATACTATAATCATATCTGACTTTTTCTAACTTAAAATAATATTTGAAAGATGAATTAATTCAAAACTTTTTTGAATAATGAATATAATAGTTAGGGTTGCGTTCGTTCGGGATTGTGATAAAGTGATAAGTATTTTTTCGTTCTTAATCAGAGATCTCAAATTCAAATCCCCTTCTATACAAATTATCTTTTTAAAGGAACACTTTATCTAACGTACTAAACGATCCGTAAATGTGTTATTTTTTTCAACGCGCAGATGATTAAATATGTGGCAAGCTAGCTTATTTAGATAATTCCATGTTAATTATCTTCATTACATATACTTGATTGGCTAATTGTTTGTTTAGAACACAAATCCACATTAATTGAGACTTTGACTTATGTGATGAAAAAATGAGAATAGTAGTTAAAAAATTTTGATTATCACTTACCAATTACCATAAACTTATAAGTACCAATTTAATATGATAATTAAGGCCAATAACAATTGCAAAAATATATATTATCAATAATTCATTTTACACCACAAAATTCAGACTTTAATTGCTTGTTTGAATTGTCTTTTGATTTTTGTTCAATATCGACTTATTTAATTGTATTCTTTACTCTTTTAAAATATTTATGACAATATATTTTTGAAATCAAATAATATAGGTTTTGATGCACCTATTATGCACCTCTAACTTTTTTGAAAGAACGAACGCTTCCGATAAACTCAATATTTGAACAATTTTATCTTTCTTTTATATTTATTAAACTTTTAACATTATCGATATGTATTTGAATCAAATATAAAAAAGTAAAAGTAAAAGGAAGTATGTAAGCATGTTAAGTTAATTCAACTGAATGGTAAAGGTATATATTCCTCGAATATAAATGTATTTATACTGTTCAAGTATCAGATGTTAAAAGTAACAAATAAAAATATATAACATATTGAAATGATATTTTTAAATTAAACTATTAATAAAAAATATATTCATTAAATTTCACATATTTTGAATATATTTTAACCCTTTTTATTATATATATAGTATATAGTCATGTGGTAAATAATAAAGTAAATACATGCATCAGCAGGTGGATCCACAGAGACAACTACTTATTTCATTCATGTGAAAATATTTTGTCTTCTTATTCTACTTTTTTTAATCAATTTGTGAATATAAATTTTCCATAAAATTAATTCATTTTCATTAATTTTATATACACACACTTAATTACAAAAAATACCTATATCCTCAAGGACTAGTTTAAAACTTTAAATTATATTTTCAATATATCAAAATATATATAACTTAAATATTTACGTATAACTATCATTTAAGTGATCAATGGAGCAAAAATCGTTTAATACCTCAATTGTACATAAAAGTTGATATTAACGACGTGTCATAAATATTTTTTTATCTGTAATCAAAAGTTTCAAACTTGAAATTTAAATATAAAATCACTGAGTCGTTGATTTTACTCTTAACAAAATATAAAATTAAACGTTATCGAACATCGAGCGAAAACCAAAACCTCAGGCTTTTGCTTGCTTGCTTAGCTTTGAGGTACTAAAAACATATCCTATAAATAAAGGACATCCATTCCTCAAAACTTTTATTAACCACACACACACATCCCAAAGTCTCACAACCAAGAAAATACACCTCTATTACATTATTACACACACACACACACCTTTAATATAACTTTTTGTCATAACTCGTCACAAAAAAACACAACTCATTATGAAGAAGAGTACTAGTACTAGCAACAATATTCTTTTCTTCATACACCCACACATATTTCTACTACTACTACTACTACTCCTATGTCAATGGTGGAGTTTCGCTTCCGCCGCGGCTGCTGCTCCTAGCAGCCAGGGCGGAAGCTGGAACGTGCTACTGTCAGACATTGGAATTTCCGCCATGCACATGCAACTTCTCAATAACGACAGGGTCGTCATGTTTGATCGTACTGATTTTGGCATGTCTAACATCTCGTTACCTGATGGAAAATGTAGGTACGATCAGAATGACACTACGTTGAAAGTCGACTGTACTGCTCACTCCGTAGAATACAACGTTGCTAGCAACTCGATACGTCCCCTCATGGTCCAAACCGATGTTTGGTGCTCCTCGGGTTCCGTGTTCCCCGACGGTTCGTTAGTTCAAACCGGTGGATTCAACGATGGTGATAAAGTCGTAAGAGTTTATAAGCCTTGTAGTAATTCAACTACTAATAGTACGTGTGATTGGGAAGAAATACAAGGTGGATTAATTCAACGACGATGGTATTCGACCAATCATATTTTGCCAGATGGCAGACAAATTATTATTGGTGGTCGTAGGGCTTTTAATTATGAATTTTATCCCAAGAGTGCATCGGCAAATAATTCATATAGTTTGCCTTTTCTTGTGAAAACAAATGATCCAAATAAAATAGAGAATAATTTATACCCTTTTGTCTTCCTTAACGTGGATGGTAATTTATTCATTTTCGCGAATAATCGAGCTATATTATTCGATTATATGAAAAATGTAGTATTAAAAAATTACCCAGAAATACCAGGTGGTGATCCGAGAAATTATCCGAGCACTGGTTCAGCCATTCTTTTACCGTTGAAGAATTTACAAGCACAAGAAATTCAAGCTGAAGTGCTGGTTTGTGGTGGAGCCCCGAAAGGTTCGTACACTAGTGCTCTAAATGGTAATTTTTCGGGTGCATTGAGTACTTGCGGGCGAATCACTATAACCGACCCGAATCCACAATGGATTATGGAGACCATGCCATTGGCTAGGACAATGGGTGATATGGTAATTTTACCCAATGGGAATGTCTTGATCATTAATGGAGCCGCCACGGGTACAGCTGGATGGGAATGTGGTCGGGACCCAGTTTTAAAACCCGTGATTTATCGACCCGATAACCCGTTTGACTCTCGATTCGAGATACAAAATCCAAGTACCATACCCAGGATGTACCATTCAACTGCAGTTTTACTCAGAGATGGTCGAGTTCTTGTTGGGGGTAGTAATCCACATATATATTACAATTTCACCGGAGTTTTTTTCCCAACCGAGTTAAGTTTGGAGGCATTTTCACCGCCTTATTTGGATTCGGTATCTGAGTACTTACGTCCACAAATCACCTCTCCTGCTTCGCAACATGCAATCGGGTATGGGCAACGAGTGCCCATACGATTTAAGGTTGCGGGGCGAGTGGATATAAATTTGGTCACGGTAACAATGGTTGCACCTGGATTTAACACACATTCATTTACGATGAATCAAAGATTATTGGTGTTAGTAAGTGAAAACGTGAAATTAATTGGGAAAAATGCCTATCAAATCAATGTGGTCACTCCAAATAATGCTAAATTAGCTCCACCTGGTTATTATCTTTTATTTGTGGTTCATCAAGATATACCAAGTGAAGGAATTTGGGTCAAAATTCAGTGAACATATTTTTATATTTTTATTTTTATTTTTTGTCTTTTTTTCTTCTTTCTTTCTTCCTACACACATATAGGAAATTAAAAAACATTAAAAAATTTCTTTATAGGTTATTATTTTTATATTTATGTTGGTTATAACATTTTTTTTTTCTTTTTGGGACATGGTGTAATTGTAATTTGTAAGGATATTCATAGGTCTTGATTGTTATGATTTAATGAAAATATTAATTACAATTTTTACGATAGAGGTGGATCAAATCGAAATAAATAAGATGGAATTGTTTGATTCATGTGAGATATTCAAAATTAAATTTATAATTTATTTGACTAAAGGTATATTTTATCATATCACATGCAATAACTTGTTCTTATTTAATCCCACCTCTCACATGATATATTACTATAGGAATTATAACATATTCTAGAACTGTAATTTTAAAATAATTTAATTCACGAATCGAACATACCGTATTAAACCAAATGAGTAAAGTGTAAATACTTAAATAGCTTGTCTTATTCTTTGTATTTTGAGCTTTATCAAGATCCAAATCAAAGTTGGATCTATTTGTATTTGTAGATCTATTGAACTTTAGTATGTTTTTTGCTTTCTCTTCTTAATACTCCTATATAAAATAATTGTAAACAAATTTAAAGTTCTAAAGCATTAATAATAAAATTAGTTTAATGAAATATATCTTTAATTACAAAAATGCAAATTGATATAGACCAAATAATACTAAACGAAACAAGTAATTTTTAGAGCGTGCACTAATTAATTGCAGTCTAATAAATAAATCGCTTATAAAAAACTATTTGTGCCATGTATTTTACTAAGCGAACAAAATAAAACAAAGAAGATAGTATCTAAATACGTAAAGCTAATTTTTCAAAAATATATTATTTGTATTCGTATAAAATATTAGTTAATTTCAATATTATATACTCCGAATCAAACCAGATAAATTAGAAAAGAAAAATAAAAGAAGGGAGGTTAGAACTAAAGGCTAGTCACGGGCCATATAATGAAGAAGATGGGTCACGGGCCAGAAAATGTAATAAACAAGTTGTCTTCATTAGTCTTCACGACCATAATTGGTTTAATTACACGGATAATTTTAGTAACTCGGTTAATTAGAAGATACATGAGACTATGTTATGTAGATCAATAAGACGTATGCTTCATGTGTCGGAGTTTATGTATTGCTCAGTACTGTATAAAAAGTGTGGTTTTACATTCCGGTCTAGTTTTTAAAAGATTCTGTTGGGATTTGCTTTAGGGCTTGCCCTGGGACAGAAGCTCAAGCAAAACGCCTCGAGATTCAAGTGCGGGCTTATTCTGTAAGACTTGCACCCTAAGCGCCTAATTGTACGCCCTAAGCACGCTCAATGCTCGGGGCTCGCCAGATAGATCTTACACAAATTATGTGTTAAAATTTTTAGTTAACATTGTTGACCCTCATAATTCTTGAATAAATACATGATACTAACTAATTTTTTAATCTATAGAGATAAGAAGAATGAGAATAACTCAAATAACAATTTTTGGTATCACATCTTCACTATTTGATAACATTATGAAGACAATTGTTTAGTACGTTAATATTTCTTCTATAAATACGTGACGATATTGTACTTTTTCGCTAATTATTAATCGTCATGATTAAATGAGAGAGGTATGTTGCTGTTCTTATTGATATTGATCAATGTGGACTAGGAACATTGATCCTTTAAATCTTCCCCCAGTCTTCTTTTCATGCTCATACGCAAGCAACAATAACATAATCTTACAGGTAGGTTTTCGAGAGCCGGAAAATATACGTAAATTTTATCTATACCTCGAAGGTATTGGGGTAGATATATTGTTTCTAGATTTTTTAATTTTTACATTTGGCTCAAGTGTAACAAATTAAAATATATTTATGGGATAATTGTATATAATAACAAACTAATAACCTAAAATAAATGGAGTAGCTACTGCTTGATTTAATTGTGCCTTATAGTAAACATTCGCCAAAGTTTGTCAGTCACCTCTCTCCCAAAAATCTCGCTCGCCATTCTCCCTCTGCTCGCCTCTCTCGCTTTATACAACAGAAGTGTATAAATTGTGTTTCTGTTTTGTATAAAGCAAGAGAAATTGTATATACACATGCAAAAACATATATTATCTTCATGTTATATACTTAATTATACAATTTACAAATATTTTACTTCGACTAAATTGTATACAAATGCAAAATTCATACAAATATTGCAACGAATAAGGCCAGTGAATTATACAATTGCAGTGAAATACAATTTTCTCCCGCTTTATACAACAGAAGTGTATAAATTCTGTTTCTGTTTTTGTATAAAGCGAGAGAAAAACATATATTTTCTTCATATACTCTTAATTATACAATATACAAACATTTTACTTTGATCGCAAAGCAAATTTTATACACATATTGCGGCGAAATAGGCCAGCGAAATATACAATTGCACATTATACAATTGCAGTGAAATAGGCCAGCGAATTATACAATTGCAACGAAATAGGCCAGCGAATCATACAATTGTATATGTATAGCGAGACTACCGAATTATACAATTTTGGCCAGCGAATTATACCATTGTATATGTATGGCGAATTATATAGTTATATATTTGTTATGAAGCGCAATTATACAAACTTTGCTATAACATACAAATATAAACTTTTTATTTGCTATATGTGAAAGTTGTCCAACAACTATATTTAACTATTCCATTAGATGGGCTTCTTTGGGTGCTAGGCCCAATATTGAACTATATTTTTCATGTGTTCTAATCTATATTTTGGGCTTTACATTTTGGCTACCAAGTAAATACATATAGTTTTGGTTAATCAAATAAAAATAGGAAAAATTGTATATAAACGACAAACTAATAAATCAAATTAAATGTTATAATCTCACTTTAATTTAATTGTGTCGTGTAGCAAATTGTTTGTCAGTCACCTTTCTCCCCCAAACTCTCACTCGCCACTCTCCCTCTCTCGCTCGCTCGCTCTCCCTTTATACAAACATAAATGTATAAAATGTGTTTGTGTTTGTATGAAGCAAGTTTATATATATATATATATATATATATAACTTGCTTCATATATATTCGTTCCTGTCTCTCTCCTCTCCCATATCTCGCTCGCCACCCTCGCCTCTATCGCTAACGAAACGTAAAAATTGTGTTTCTGTTTGTATAAAGCGAGAGAAAATTGTATATACAAATGCAAATACATATATCTTCGTCCTATACACTTATAACTATACTATATAATATTTCCCTGCCCAATTTTCTTTTGTCTTTCTCTCTTTCTTCTTTTAAACATACACAAAATATACAATTGATTTGTATACAACTGCTTTCTTTTGTATATGTATAGCGAATTATACAATTGGTTCTTTGTATATGTATAACGAATTATTCATATTTATCTTTGCTATGGAGCGCAATTATACAAACTTTGCTATAACATACAAATATAAATTTTATATTTGCTATATGTGAAAATTGCTTATAAAAATATTTGAAATTAAGTTACGGGAATAATTACACCAATTATTTGATAATCCGATCTTCATATTCCCAATCACACCAAACAAATTGAAAAAAGTAAATTACCAGTGTACTACTCTTTCTATCTCAATTTACAAGACACACTTTCTTTATTGTCATTTTCTTAATAAGATGATATATAACTTACTTGAGATCATTAATTTAAAAAAAAATAAAAAATTTTTAAACTTTACATCTAATTAAATTACATCACATAAATTGAGACGAAAATAATAGACACATGCATACATACAAGTAAATATATATTTTTTTAAAAATATTATTTAAAATTAAGAAAAAATAGAAAAGGAATACAGGCTGACAAGTTTTTTTTTTCTTTTTCTTTTTCCAGTAATATAACAGTGAGTGAACAGTTCATAATTTATTTATTTTTTCTTTTAAAATAAACAAAAAGGGGGCACAGAAAAAAAAATTAAAAAAAAATTCAGAGGAATTAGGGTTCTTATTTAGGGTTGCCTTTTGATCTCTGTTCCTCTTTTTTTTTTTTCTCTCTTTCTCTTCTCTCTGTTAAGTAAAATTTACTTTCATCGGAAAAATCGTTTTCTTCAAAATCGGATCAAAATTTAGCTGATTTTTTAGGGTTTTTGGAGCGAATTTTGACGATAAAATCACTGTTAATCCTATTGGCTTTAAGGTTTTTTTATATTTGAGAACTGAATCGAATCGAATCGGAATTTTTTTTGTATTTGTAAATATGCGAGGACGGGAGAAATCGAAAAGGGTTACTTGGGCTTCAGATGATAGTCTTTGTCAGGTATAATTTATGTAAAGATCCGTAATTTTCATAGTTTATTGATGTAATTGTATTGAATAACCCTAAAAAAAAAAAGGAAAATTTAACTGAGTTGGGAACTGATGAACTCTAAAGTGTTGATAAACCTTTTTGTTTTGATGAATTTGATTGTTGTGATACAAAAGAGGTTTTTTTATAGCCAAGATTGGATTGAAATGGGTTAAAAGTTGGGAATGGGGTTGGTTGATTCGTATAGTCCAATCTAGGTCTATTTTACACTCAAGATTGGAGTGAAATGGGTTAAAAGTCGGAATTGAGTTTCGTGATTCATAGAGTCCAATTTAGCTCTATATAACACCTAAGATTCGAATGAAATGAGGTGAAGTTTGAATGGAGTTTGATGATTCATATAGTCTAATCCAACCAGTAAAGTTGCGTCTATGTGACTAGGAGTCACGTGTTCAAGCCGTGGAAACAACCTTTTGTAGAAATGCAATGTAAGGCTGTATACAATAGACCATTGTGGTCTGACCTTTAGCTGTAGTCCCGTGCACTGGACTCCCCCTTTTTTATAGTCCACTTCAAGTTAGTTAGGGAATGAAGCCTGGTTATTTTTGTTATTGTATTATTCTCAATTGTTAAGTTTTATTACTGTTAGTCAAGTTAAATTGAGTGATATGGGGAATAATGTGGAGTTACTTTCTCGATACTTGTTTTGTATGTTATATGTTTAAGACATTGCTAGAATTTAGTAATTCTGGAAACTGGAATCTAATGTTAAAATTTTGAAGCCAGACTATCTTAGTCTTGTGGGGTAGTTGATTGATATATTCTTTGACTGACAAATAGAATACTAATTTTAGCCGAAAGAGATAGCTAAACTACTTTATTAAGTTTGAAACCAAAGAATCCTGTAATATGTGTTGATAAAATTTTCTCAAGTGCACTCGTCCAAAAACAGAGGAA